CACAAGCAGGGCTATGGCACATGGCAGGGGGCTGGGAGGCCAAGAGGAGGCCAGACCTGGGAGGACCTCAAGGGCTAGGTGTGGGGATCCTTCCCGCAGGCAGTGGGAGCCAGACTGGGTGCAGAAGGAGGGCTCTGGCCACCGTGGGTGGCAATGGGAGAACAAGGACAGGGGCCTAGGTGGTGGCTGAGCCTTGACACATGGGGATGTGCAGCTCTGGGGACACAGAATGTGTGGAGGTGGCTGTGGGGAGACGGAGGAGCCAGGCAGAGGCCATGTCTGGGGCACTCACTGGACTTCACATCTCCCAAGACACCAGCAGGGGCGGGAGGAGAGGCGAGCCTGAAGACTCTTGTTCTCTTGGTGTGTTAAACCCACAGGTCCATGCAAGGTTGTCAGGCGCACGTGCAGATCAGGAGGAGAAAGCAGCTGCCGCGGCATAGCCAGGGTGAGGACAGCGTGAGAACCGGCACGGCGGGCCCCGCAGTGCCCAGCAGCCGGCGATGCGCACGCGGGCCTGCTCCCTCTGCAGATACCATGGCTGCAGGCCGGGAACGCATGCGAGGACGCCTGTGCCCTCCTGCTCGCCAGTGTCCACTTATCTGCTTTGGCAGGAGCATCACCCCTGGGAGAGACTGGGACCAGAGGGAAACAAGATGTGTTCAGACCACACAGTGACTGCGGGACATGCAGGCTGGAGAGGGGCTGGCCATGTAGCCGGGCCCCTGCTGCCGGGGGATGCCCATGAGGCGGCATGACTCAGGGCACTGTCGGGAACTGGGTGCTGGCAGGACGCGGGGGACCCTGGAGCCAGAGCAGAAAGAGCTGCCCACGGGGAGGGGCTCGATGGAGGCTGGTCCGCCTGCCTCTACAGGTTCTCCCCACCGGCAGCCTTGTGGGGCTGTTGAGGCCCCAGGCCCCCACCTCCCAGCCCTCCTCTGCCCGCAGCCACCTGCTCTTCGTGCTCCTCTCCAGACTGGCATCACACTCATGGGCCTCCCTCTTGAAGCAATGTCTTCCTTACTCAGCTCTGCTCCGGTCCAGGGCCTGAGGTCATGGTCAGGGCTGGGCACACAGGGCTGTGTTTTCCCAAGCTGGAGGTGAAGCGCAGCGCGGTCTGAGAGTGGGGGTGGGGGGAGTGCAGGATCCTCTCCCTGGGCAACCAAAGCCCGCAGGGCAAAGACACCGACTTCGGGGTCTGCAGTAATATAGTGATTTATTGCTTCTTTAGCCACATGAGTTACCAAGGTCAAAGGGAGGGGGAAGAAACTGACGAAAATAGCGGCTCATCTGGGACTGTCTTCCTTCTCGGCTTGTCCCTTGGCTTCTTTGGAGTTCAGGCTTGAGGCCATGAACTCTAACTCATTTTCTGCCGGCCCCTTGGGCCGCGAGAGCTGACTAGGTGTGTGTCTCTGAAGGCTGAGGGGGGGCCCCTTCCTTGATCTCCTTGCTGGGCTGCTTGCTGGTGAGGCCCATGGCCTCTGCCTGCTTCGACACCTGCACTGCCAGTGCCTCCTCCTCGGGTCTTGTCTCCGCCCAGGCCTTGGGCCCGGCCTCTTCCCGGGGCTCCAGCTTGGTGGCAGACTTCTTGTAGGAGCTGGGCTCAGGAGTCCACGGGGGCTCGGTGGCCCGAGAGCTCTCCCCCTCCTTGTTGATGGCTGTAGAGGACAGGCCCCAGGCCTTGGGCTGCACCCAGCAGTGGCTGAGGATCTCATCGATGTGCAGCCGCCGGTTGACGTCTGGCTGCAGCATGCGGTAGATGAGGTCCTTGCACTCGCCCGTCAGGTGCTTAGAGCGCGGGAAGTTGACGCGATGCTCCTTCTGGATGCGCAGCATCTTCTTGATGTTGGAGTCGTCATACGGCATGGAGCCACAGACCATGATGTAGAGAATCACACCTAGGCTCCAGATGTCATACACCTTGGGCTGGTAGGGGATGCCCTGAAGCACCTCGGGGGCCGCATACGCTGCCGACCCACAGAAGGTCTTGCTCAGTGTCAGTCGGCCGCTGTCATCCCGCAGGCAGCGCTTGGAGAAGCCAAAGTCAGACAGCTTGATGTTGAAATCTTTGTCGAGGAGAAGGTTCTCACACTTGAGGTCTCGGTGGACAACATCCAAGTCGTGGCAGTACTTGACGGCTGAGGACAGCTGGTGGAACTTCTTGCGCGCATCGTCTTCCTGCAGGGCCCCCCGGGTCTTGATGAACTCAAGGAGGTCGCCCTGGACCCCGAGCTCCATGACAATGTAGACCTTGCCGTTGGAGGTCTCAAAGATCTCGTAGGTCTTGATGATGGAGCGGTGGTTTAGCATGGCCAGAATCTCAATTTCCCGGGGAAGGAATTTCTCCAGGAAGTCTGTGGGGGCTTTCTTGCGGTCGATGATCTTGACTGCCACGTTGAACTTCAGGCGCTCAGAGTAAGCAGATTTGACTTTAGCATACGAGCCCTCTCCCAAATTGATTCCCATGATGTAGCCTCGTCGCTTGAGGACAGCAGCATCATCCATGGTGCTGGGAGCACCCAGTGCCCCTGAGGCTGCCCTCTACATCCCTGCAGGACATGGGCCAGTGGCGTCCTCATTTACACTGTGGACAGAGAGTCCTCTGGCCTGCCTCCTAGAGGCCAAGACTCTGGGGTGGAACATTCGGCATTGTCTCCCTGGTGACTTCAGTGGGTGAAGTCATAAAGAAGGACTGCCCTGGGGAATGAGGCTCTGGCCTGAGCCACTAACACTCGGAACCCTGGAAGGCCGGTCAGTGGGCTGCAGCAGACAGAAGGCCAGCGGAAGCATGGCCTCATGCTCGGCTGGGACCCAAGGTAGGAGGGGGATGTGGGGAGTGCTTCAGTCAGCCCAAGCCTCCAAACCAGAGCCAGGCCTGCTGGTGGAGCCGCGGGTTTATTTCTGCAACCCGGGGTATCCCTGGAAATCCAGGGCAGGCAGTCCCATCACTCTGGGTCTAAGCAGGAAACAGGAGAGACACTCAAGTTAGGACTGTCTGAGGAGGGTTTAATAAGGGGATGATTTACCAACATGGAGCAGAGTGTAGAGAACCCTGAGTAGTAACGGACCGCTGGAAGAAGGGTGGTCGCTGGGACCTGGGAAGAGGAGTACAGGGAGGGCCGCCCTGACAGAAGCAGTGATCTCAGGTGGAGGCCACAGGACCCCACGGGGTGTTGGGAGGGGAACGTCCCTGACCTCTTCTCCCTCCCTGCAGCCCTGAAAGCCCTTGATAATGTCCATGCAGGCAGCCTGCTGGCTGCACAGCAAGGCCGAGAAGGGGGAGGTGGGTCAGGAGGGGCAAGGATCCTGGCCCAGTGGTCAATGCAGTTTAGGAAGCTGGGGCTCTGCCCACTTGCTGTGTGGTCTGCTGGACTTTTCGCTTTCCTGTGCTGCTCTCCTCATCCGAACCTTTGCTGGCTGGCTCTGTGGGGTACAACTGGCAAGGGTTTCTGCTCTTGGCTGTGAGTTCCCTCCCGGGGGTCTGACCATCCATAGCCCTGGCTGGGCTCCCAGGGCAGATCTGGGACTGGGGGCAGAAGGTGGGCCTGGACTCCTCTCAGTGCAGCAGCTTCTCCCGGGAATGCTCCCTGAGGATGTGCTAACAGGGCAGCGTTGGACAGGGATCGCCATTTCCACCAGCAGTGGGGCCCCTCTGCTGTGGGCCCCTGTTGTGTGCCACGCCCTGAGGGGATAGGAGTGGGCAGGTCTGGCCTAGCCTTGGGGTTGACTTTGGCCATATCCGTCCAGAGGGAGTGAGTGCCTCTCTCAGATGACCCTGAATGTCACAGGCTGGAATCCTGGGATGCTCGGGAGGACCATGCCCTGAAGGGGCTTGGGGTGACTGCTCCTGGAGAGTGATTTGGTGGGCTGGAGGGGGGCAGGGCTGGGCTGGGTGCCCACCAACCTTGGCCCCCCCCCCTTTTCTCTGCTCCCATCCCCACCCTTTTCCCCACCCTCTTCCCCACCCTGACACCCTGGGCAAGCCCTTGTGTGCGCGGCTGGTGGTCCTTCCTTTGGAGGGCTTGCTCCTCTCTCGTCAGGGACACCCCACCTACTGTGTACCCTCCCATGGTGACAGGTGCGCGGCCAGCTCTCGGAGCGCTGTCCCTGGCGGCTTCCCTCCGTGCAGACGGGCCTGCTGTGGCGGCAGCTGTGCTGCGTTCTCCTGTCCCCGCCATGCGGGCAGCGCCGTTCCTCCACAGGGGGCTTTGCTCCGTCTCTAGGATCTGGGCTTCCCTGTCAGCTCTCCTTGTGTGACCCTCCTTGAGGCTACTCCCTCATCCGTTTGAAACGTTTCAGTTGTATGTGCCGGTGAAGCCACACCTGCGTGTTCCTCACGAGGTGGAACCACCCCCGGAACCTCCTCAGGGTTAGGCCGGGTCCCTCCAGTTTTCCTCATCCCTCTCCGCACCGGTTCGGCCTTTAAAAGACGACTTTGGGGCGCACTCTTGGGCCTCTGACCAGACCTGGGGCTGCAGGTGCGCGAGATGTTAGGACGCTAGGTCTCCCAGGGCCCTCTTCACCCGGTACCCATCCCCACCCCGCCCACCGGCTCCCGTGCGCCCCGCCCCTCCCGTCAGGCCCTGCCCCCGGACCGCCCCGGCCCCTCCACGCCCCGCCCCTTCCGTGTCTGTCATCTCGGCCCCGCCGCCCAGGCTCTGCGGGGCCCTTCGGAGGCCCCGCCGCTGAGGCTCCGCCCACAAGCCTCTCCTCTCTGCTCAGCCAATGGCACCTTTGACCCCTCGTAGTTCCGCCCCCGAAGGGCCCACCCCTGAGCCACCGCCCCGCCCTTGGGCCACGCCCCTTTCGGCCACTGCGCATGGGGAACACGCAGGCCCCACCCCCTCCCGGCGCTCATTGGCCGGCGCGGGCGGCGCGGGCGGGGGCGGTGCGGGCGGTGCGGACCGAGCAAGACGGCCGCCATCTTGCGCGGAGCCAGAGTTGGGGCGCGTGAGTGTCCGCGGTCCCTGCAGCCTCCTCCCGCAGCGTCCTCGCCTGGCCTGGCCCCGGCCCGGCCCGACCCTCGGCCCGGCCCGGCCCGGCCTCCCCGCGGGGTCTCGCGGCCGCCCCGGGGACGATGAACGGAGGATAAATGGTGCCCAAGGCAGACAGCGGTGCCTTTCTGCTGCTCTTCCTGCTGGTGCTCACGGTCACCGAGCCGCTGCGGCCAGGTGCGCAGTGGTGGGGGTGGGGGCGCGGGCGGGGCGGGGGGGCGGGGGCGCTGGGACCCCCACCTCGCCTGGCCCTCACTTTGCGCTCGGCAGTCGACGGAGCGGGAGCAATGGTGGTCAGGCCGGGGGCCGAGGGGGCGGCTCGGGGCACCTGGAAGCCCCTGGCTGGTCACGGTCGCTCGGCCCGGGAGCCGCCGAGCCGGGCACCGGGGGGTGCTCCTGGTCTGTGACCCTCAGATGCTTTTGGAGCCCCCGGGGGCTTGCGTTTTCTGAAGGAAGCCTGTGGTGGGGAATCGGGATCGCGGCAGCAGAAGGTCCTGGACGATCCTTATCTCTGTTTCTGATGTACCTCCTCCTCCAGCGAGAAATCAGGACCCTAAATGCAGGGCCGATTTATCCGTCAGGCACAGGAGGCCGGGGATCCAAGGTGATTTTGGTGGACTGTAAAAATGTTTTCTTTTACAGTCAG